AAAATTGCTCGACTGATTGGGTTCATCCAGAATTATGGACATGAATAACCCAACTCAAGGACTTCATGGGTAACATGTAATAGTCCCATGATTAGGAATATAATATCAAATGGGTTAGATACTCAATACTTAAGACTTAGGACATGAAGATATTACTCTTCTCATAGATACTCAACTTCTGGAGTTCATGCGGAATTTATGGGCATGAACAACTTGACTCGTAGGTTTGCATAACATTATGGAACTCATGTCTATAACTCTTCTCATTCTCATACTTACTTTCTCAAAATTTAACTCAAATCGATTATGGATCTCCAAGGATTTACAATTGAACTCAAAACTTTCTTGAACTATACTCTTAACTCTCTCTTGAATGTGAATTATGAATTCAAGAGTTATGGTTCATGCTATGAAAGATCTCATGATGAAAAAGTAGACTCATGAATACCTTCTCCTCACTCTCATGCTCACTTACTCGAGTCTTGAAACAAGTTACTAGAAGTTGTAGAAGACTCCACAAAATGACTCAAAGGGACTTTCTTAGAATGTTCGAAAGAATTCTCATAACTTAACTCTTAACTCTACCTTGAATTTGAATTATGAATTCAAGGGTATGATCATTGTAGGAATGATTTTAGGTGTTTAGAAGTAACTTAGAGTTGTTAGAATCGAAAATGAGTGAAGGTACCCTTCGAAAGAACTCAAACGGAGCAACCGATTGTAAACTGGACGGGGTAGGCGACCCTGGGGCTATGGGTGGCGCGGGGCGCCAGCCCCCTAAACTTCAGAGCCTACTTTGGGGCGCTCTGGCTAGCGCGACACACTAGGCCCCAACGTTCATATATATTCGGTATTGTTACAACAAATTCGGTCAAAGTTCATATATATTCCAAACAGTTTTCCCTATTTGAAACTTACAAATATATTTGTCTGTAAAACTGAATTAAATTGAACAATGAGCACCTGTTATTACACCAAAATATGTTGTTTTGATACAATAAGTTCGAATCAAATAACAATTTTCAAAGCACTTGTCAAGATGAAGTTTGTGGTGAAATTAGTGAAGTTGATTTTATTTAAAATTTGATATAATTAAATTTGAACATAAACTCCTATTATATATATATATATTAAGATCTTGTAAGATAGAATGTATAACATCTCTAATTAAATTAGTTATATAAATGTATTGTTCGATAGAAGAGGTTCGGAAAAAAAACATGTAGCACCCCAAGATTTACGTATATTTCACCCCGTATCAGATAAAATGTCTCACCTTAATTGTGCTCACACTTTTAAAAAAATCAATAATAAATAATATTGTAGTTATCTTTTTTGTCAATTGATAAATTGATATATTATATAAATGTATTGTTCGATAGAAGAGGTTAAGAAAAAAAAACATGTAGCACCCCAAGATTTACGTATATTTCACCCCGTATCAGATAAAATGTCACACCTTAATTGTGCTCACACTTTAAAAAAAATCAATTATAAATAATTTGTAGTTTTCTTTTTTGTCAATTGATAAATTATTTAATTAATTTGATAATTATGAAATTTGAACAAAAGAAAATTACATATATTATTTCCTTTGGTTTTTTTACCTATCCACTTTGGACGTTCCACGTTTATTAAAAAAATGATTGATATGACTATTTTACAAAAATATCCATATTCATTGATCGATGTTTAGGTCTTGATTTTTTTTAGAAATAAGTAATTAATATTAAAGGTAAAACATGATTTTGTTTGTATAGTTTTTTAAGTAAAAAATGAAATAAAAAAATAATATAATTATATATATACATATATATTGGGAACCAAAGTGTATGTCGTACAACTTTGACATATATATGTACATTTAATAGGTGAAAGAAAAATGTACATATAATAGTTTTAAATGTAAAATATTCTAAATAAGGCACAACTAAACCTACTTTATTTTGATAGAATATATTGGCTTTTATTAGTTATTTCTTCTTTTTTTCTATGAAAAAAATCCCTAAATCCCTAAATTTGAGAGACAAAGTTTACACTACATCTCTCTCAAAATTCAAAGCACAAAGCTCAAGTGAACCTTCATCTCTTCGATTTGTCTTTCAAAGTTCAAGTTCAACTTTATTATCATCTCCTCCTGCATCATCACATCAAGGGTAAGTTTATTTCCTCTTCATCTATCTAAAATTCTTTTACTACAAATTTTACTTTAACTTGTTTTCTCATCATATTTTAAAATGGATTGTTTATTACTGGACCATAGAGGATATGTTAAGAATGAGAAGATCCTCTATTTGATAGTTTATCTCAGCCAAATTCTTTGTTTGAATCGAAATTATACTCTTCTATCTACTATAATCGAATGTAATGACTATCTTGTTGCTCCTTCAAAGGTATGTCAAGTCAATTATGGACAAGTAAAAATCTCGTCCCTTGCAATGCTATTTCCAAATATTGATTTGGTGTCTTTTGTTTCACTGTTTGACTTATTTCTAGGATCAAATGCTCAAGCTCATTTTAAGAACTGAACAGTCAGCTTTTGTTGTTTACTTTTTATAATTAAGATGCCAAATCAAAATACAAAAGTGTAGCAGTAGGAAATGAGCCTTTTAAATCTCTTTGCATTTTCAATATTCGCGTGTTTGTTTCCATCTGTTGGCCGTTCTACTTCTCCGACTATGATTTTTATGTTGGGAAAGCTAGCTGAAGGGACAGGATTTGAGTCAGGGGAGTAGTAAATGTATGTGTTTAAAGAAACAACTGCTTTCACCTCTGGCCCTAATCCAACATGGTTGATGGCTTCTTGAACATTTCACAGAGCTGGAAAAGTGGAATGTAGATAAGTTCCATTGTATTTTTGAAGAAAAGGCTCATTTCCAAGTGTACTTAATGTCACAATCATACACTTAAACTTGTCAACAAAAGCTTTCTCCTACCAACTTTGACATTAAGTGGACAATAGTATGAATGTGATTTAGTTATTTCGAGAGTCGATTTATTGAAAACAACCTCTCTACCTCCTAAAAAATGGACGATGAACTCAACAAACACTTAATAATATATTCTCACCTTCTGCCCCTCTTCATTCTATTGTTTTTTTCTGTTCCGGGAGATTTATATGCTAACACTATCTTTATCTGTTTGTTTCTTTGTAGGAAATTTGAAAATGGATAAGACTTGGATGCGTTGTACTGACACATCAAGTGATGTTTATTTAAAAGGAGTTGATAATTTTCTTCAATTTGCCTTTCAAAACTCCGAAGTAGAAGGTGAAATTCCTTGTCCTTGTACACAATGCAATAATGTTTCCAATGGGTCTAGAGATGAAGTGAAGGAACATTTAATACTTTTTGGGATAGTCAAAGGATACAAGTTGGCTTCAACATGGAGAATTTGCACCAAAAAAGAAAATCATTAATCAGGATGCAGAAGGAAAAGAGCAAGGCGAACCATCTCAAAAGAAAAGAAAAGAGCGAGATGACGATATGTTTGAAATGATTTATGATGCTGATGGTCCCGAAATAATGGATGATTCTAGTGGAGTAAAGTTTCAACAAGGTGATGCTTCAGAACCTACTTCCAATTTTTTCAAATTATTGGAAGATGCTTCACAACAACTTTATCCAGGTTGTGATACATTCTCTAAGTTATCACTGATTGTGGAATTGTTCCAAATCAAATGCCTTCATGGTTTGAGTGATAAAGCAACCGATAGCATATTGAAATTGATCAAACGAGCACTTCCTTCTGGTGAAACTTTACCAGAGTCATTCTATGGAGCAAAAAAAAAGATTCAAAATTTAGGTCTTCGGTATGAAAAGATACATGCTTGCGAGAATGATTGTATGTTATTTTGGAAAAAAAAATGCAAAAGCTGAATCTTGCTTGGTTTGTGGGGAGTCTAGGTGGAAGTCAGTGGAAGGCCAAACAACTGATGGAGCTATTCAAGGAAATAATGAGAACAAAGTTCCTCGAAAAGTGTTACGTTACTTTCCCTAGAAACCAAGATTGCAGAGGTTGTTTGTGTCATCAGAAATTGCTTCAGACATGACATGGCGTCATGATCGGCGCTTGAAAGACGGGGTTTTAAGATATCCAGTAGACTCTGAAGCATGGAAACATTTTGATACAACTAATCCTGGTTTTGCTAGAGATCCGCGTAATGTTAGACTTGGATTAGCATCTGACGGGGTAAATCCTTTTGGTAACTTTAAGTGTTTCTCATAGCACTTGGCCAGTGATTATTACTGTATATAACTTACCCTCTTGGATGTGCATGAAGCAACCCTATTGCTACTTGTCTTTGTTGATACCTGGTCCTAAAGCCCCTGGAAATGATATCGACGTGTACTTAGAACCATTGATAGATGAGTTGCGAGAATTATGGTATTATGGAGTCGATACATTTGATGCTTCAAGAAAAGAGAACTTTTGTATGCGAGCAGCACTCTTATGGACTATCAATGATTTTCCAGCTTATGCAAACTTGTCTGGATGGAGCACAAAGGGAGCTTTGACTTGTCCTTCATGCAATAAAGACACTCCATCTACTCGATTGAAGTATGGTCGTAAGTTTTCTTACATGGGTGCTTGGAGGTTTTTAGCATCTAATCATAAGTGGCGGAGTAATAAACGTGATTTAAATGGAGAAGTTGAAAGAAGACCTGCTGCAAATATTCTATCGGGAGATGACGCTATATGCCAACTACTTGCTTTGGGAGACATGAAATTTGGTAAGACCCAGAAAAAAAGCAAGTACGAAAAAAGTGAAGGCATACATAACTGGAGAAAAAAAAGCATTTTTTTAGGCTTCCTTTTTGGAAAAATAATTTAATACGCCATAATTTGGATGTGATGCATATTGAAAAAAATGTGTGCGATAATATTATTGGGACATTACTAGATATTGAAGGAAAAACAAAAGATAAGTTGAATGCTCGTCGCGATTTGAAGGAAATGGGTATAAGAAGAGATTTACATCCAACTTATAGAGATGGAAGATGGTATTACCCAGCAGCATGTTATCTTTATCACGAGATGAGAAGTCTAAAGTATGCAAGTTCTTGAAAGTGGTTAAGGTTCCAAATGGTTATTCTTCCAATATATCACGGTGGGTGAAGTCGGAGGATCGTAAAATTAATGGATTAAAGAGTCATGATTCACATATTTTATTGGAACAACTACTTCCTCTTGCAATTCGTGGAGTCGTGCCAAGCAATGTCTATGATGCTATCACCGAGTTAAGTATTTTATTCAAAGAATTGTGTTCAAAAACACTAAGGGTTGATGTGTTGGATCAACTTGCAGCTCAAATTCCAATAACACTGAGCAAATTAGAAAAGATATTTCTACGACCATTTTTTGACGTTATGGTTCATTTAGTCATTCATCTTCCAAGAGAGGCTAAGCTTGGCGGACCTATACAAAATAGGTGGATGTATCCTATTGAGCGGTATGTTTTAAATTTATAATTTTGATTTAATTTTATGTTGCTTGTTAATTTATTTTGTTAAAAAGAAGTTTGAGTGATATGTTATATCATGCAGATTTTTACGCATATTGAAATGTTATGTTCGTAATAGAAATCATCCGGAAGGTGTATGGCAGAAGGGTATATTGTTGAAGAATGTATAATACTTTGCTCAAGGTATTTACATGGAAGTGCAAAATGGCATAATCGAATGGACAAGAATCATGAAGTTGATCATGCTGAGAAATATAATGGATTATCAGTATTTGAACAAAAGGGTTCTCCATTATTAAGAGATACATCAAGAAATCTTGAAGAATCTGAGCTAAAACAAGCTCATCTTTATGTCTTGAGAAATTGTGAAGAAGTTCAACCATTTCTACGGTATGTTTTGTTAGCTTTCCCTCATCTCTTACCGTTATTTTTGAAGTTACCTCGAACTAAAAATTCATTAATGATTTTTTTGTTTAACATTGTTCTAAGTGAGCATGTTGTGCATTTGCCAAAATAGATTTCTCATTTATCTGAATCATGTACTATTCTTTCCATGAAAAATCCTGATTCTTTAGTTTTTGATAGTAAAGTCTCATTACCTAACATCATCAATTTCATGACATGAAAAACAATGGTGCCAAATGGTCTCCTACTGTTTTCATTTTCATAACCTCTGCTAGTATAAGGAAATAGTGAAAGGGATTTTTACTTTTTATATAATTAACATTTATTTGTATAACAGTGAATATGAGCATGAACTTTGATGATTGGTTTTTCCATCGAGTAAGTTTTTACTTTATAACATATTAAATTTGTAATACTTATTTATTATCATTGATTAATTGATTTTTTGTATAGATTGTCCAAATGCGCAAAGAAGAAAATTGACTTGCAAGCTGTGAATTGTATTCTTTAGCTAGAGGTCCTTTTGATGGAGTTCAAAGATTCAAGGGGTATGAAATAAATGGTTTTAGATTTCATACTAAACTACTCAAGGAAAAGAGGAAGACGGAAAATAGTGGTGTTTTAGTAAAAGGAGTGGTGAATGGTCAAAATATCAATTACTATGACGTTCTAACTGAAATAGTAGAACTTTAATATTTCGGAGGTAAGCGCATTGTTTTGTTTAAGTGTGATTGGTGGGATGTTGATAATAGTGGAAATGGAGTGAAAATAGATAAACATGATTATGTTAGTGTTAACACTAACAGAAAATTAGCTACAAATGAACCATTTGTACTTGCATCTCAAGTAGAACAAATATTTTATGGTAAGGATAATCTTCATCCCAATTGGTCAATTGTTTTGAATGGTCATTCTAGTTACTTTACTGGAGGTGCTATTGATGAAGAGACCTTTCAACAAGATGCTTGTAATAATTTCTCGCATAGATTTGAGGATGATGAAGACTTCATAAATTGGAAAAGAAATGATTTGGATGTTATTAGCACTGATGTTACCGTAGCTGATGATATCACTGAAGACAACGAATCAGAATCAGAAGCTGATGATGAAGATTTATTATTGTAAATATTTGGAAGTCTTATTTACTTTTACTTACTTTTGAGAATTGATCTTTATTTTAATAAGTTACTCCAACTATATGTGAATTAGTATTATTATTTAGTTGAAATATTATTATTTACAGGTATACGTTGATGAAGTTTTCAGTTACATGGAAAAAATTTGTTATCGATATACTAAAATTGTTATCAATTTTTCAGAACACTTTTTGGCCACTAGGCCATTAATATACTAAATATTAATAGTTTTTAAGGGGATTGTTTTTCTCAAACTATTGACATCCATTGTTTGAGGAAAAATTGTTCCCTATCCATTTTCTGTTGGGATACTCTTCGTTCCTATATCATTTTGTCATGACAAATTATTATACTATTAAGTTAATTATTGCCACATTTTTTGGTACTCGAAACAAAATGTTAATTATGTTATAATTTTTTATTTTAAATTTATTTTTATGAGTAAAATTTTACTATTGCTCCAACTAGTTTCAACATGATCATGAAAAAACTTAATCATTAACTATAAAATTTTATCATCGTAAATAATTTATGACTATCTTTTAGTATGCCACAAATTTTTGAACATGAAAAATATTTATTTTAGCTACGAGTTTTTTCTTCCAATAATTTATAGTGGCTAAAAAGTTATTATTAGTATGGAAAATTTATATTTATGGCGAAAAATCACAGTGTTATAAAATTTCATTCCGGCAAAAATTTTATGGCTATATCTTATAGTTATTGCCACAATATTTTTATAACTTAAAGCAAACTTATTTATTTAGCTACAAATATTTCTTCAAATAATTTATTGTGGCTAAAAGTTATTATTACTATGAATTTACGGCAAATAATATTGAATTGCTACGATATTATATTATAGCGAAAACTCTATGGCTATTTCATTTAACTATAGCTACAATAGTTTATAACTTGAAGTAAAAGTATTTATATAGCTACAATATTTTGTGTCAAATAACTTATTGTGGCTAAAGGGTTACTATTGCTACAATGACTTTTATCGCGTGACAATAACGTATAATTAGCTATAGAACTTTGTTGTAACAGTAAAATTATAGCTATTTAGGTCATTATTGCCACAATTTTTAGCAATTATAGCAAAAGTAAGGATTTAGCTTTATCAATTTAATTGTCGTGGCTATGAAATTTGACAAATTTTTTGATAGCCACAAATTGTGAATTTTTGTGGCTATTACTAAGTAATAGCTACGATTTTCAAATTCATAGCTTAGATTTCGTAGCTATAAATACATTTTCTTGTAGTGAATCCAGAAAACCCGACGAATTTCTTTACTCGTTTTCTCACCCTAACTCGCCTAGAATCGAATGGTTTCTTCCCCAATCACTTAGAATCAATTACTTAACAGAAGTACACTCTAATCTACTCAATACATCCCTTAAAAAAACTCACTTTGATCTCAATAATTCATCCAAAACCCAACACAACAAGATTTAGAATGAACTTCAAGAACACCTATTAAGAACTCAAGTCTTTCAACTTCAAGAATGAAATTTGCAGTGAAAATAACATGTTTGGCGTGTGGGTGAACAAACCCAACACTATGGAAGCTTACATACCTCTTAGATATTAAACCCATGGCGAAAATCCGCAACAAGATGCAAGAATCTCGACGAACGCTTGATCCTCTGCTCTTTTCTCTTCTTGAACTGTCAACTAAAACCCTAGGCGTATTTTAGGATTATAAAACTAAACATAATAGGATTAGACCCTTAAAACCTTACTAAAAATGAATTAAATCTCATTGGGTAAGGAAAAGACCAAGCTACCCCTATAAAATCCGGTTTTGACTTTCCTTATCTAGACAACCCAACTTCGAATGGACATATCTTCCTCATACAAACTCGAAACTGAGCAAACTCGGTGGCGTTGGAAAGATAATTCAAAGACCTTTCCTACAGTATCTGTTATCACATCTAACTCATATTGAGCTAGAAGTTATGTTCGTTTGAAGTCGATCCAAAACTCATACTTAGCGTAACTTGCAAAATTTCAGATTTTGCTATTTTCAATTTAGTTCTTTTTCGAACTCAAGGTGCTACATTTAGTGAACTTAACACTTGATAAATTTTAATTCCTCAAAAAAATCTTACTCACAATGAAGGATGGTTCAAGTCTTAGCTCAAAAAATTTCTAGGGTGTTACAAAATCCTTCTTCCTTGGGTTGTGTAATCAGTCCATTGATAAAACCCAATTTCTTTTTGGCTCTAAAAGCGTTTCTTACCGCCTTAGCCCTTTTTTCATTGTTGTCGCCCTTCAGAACCACAAGAGTTATACATATTCCTGTGTGATCTGCTAAAAGTAAGAAATACGGAGAAGTCAGATCGTTCATAGGAGTTTTGCTGCTTCCAGATCCAGTGACTCCGTCTTTATTTTTATTCTTATCGTCGCTAACCATCTTCGAATTTATTTTTTTTGGTTATGGCCCTGATACCATGAAACGATTTGCAGAAGGTGATGATTGTCCCTTTGTATAGATGTTGTAGCCAAAGTTATATACAAATCCCTAAATCTTGCTAACCAAGAAAACTATCGTCAATAAGGTAATAGTCTCCTAAATATATACATCTTCCTAAAATAGTACACTCTTACTAAATCTCCTAATATTATTCATCCTCACTTCCCTTTGTTTATACTTTCCCCTAATGTTCCTACTCATCAAGCAATAGTAAAACCCTCATGTTTTCTTCGGAGGCTTCTTTTGGTTATTTTTCCTTTCCCCTTTACTCACCAACTGAAAATTATTTAGGCCTTTCAACTGCACTCATCTTAGCTCTAGCAAATTAACTCTGAACTTTTTGCTTCCTCTTTGTCTTTTAGATTTTTATAATTATATTTTTATAAAATCACAAACAATTAAATATTTTTTAATACTATGTATACTAGTTATATTAAAAATCACAAACATCTTTAGAAATGTTAATTGAATATTTTGTCCTCTCTGAGATAGATAAAATTGTTATTTATTATTTTTGTCAAACTATTAATAATTATCTTTAAAGTATTACGACATGAGGTCTCCCACTAGAATTTTGTTGGTTTGTTTTAACTATTTGTATTTTTTACATTAGAGGTATGAATGTGATTATATACATGTTCGATTACTCATTATTATTTTTCTGTAAATTTTATAAGCAAAAGGGTCTCATGAACCCTTGTACTTGTATGAATTTGTATTGTGGATCCTTCTACTTAACATTTTATCAACTGAACCCCAAAACTAAATAAAACACAATAAATTAAACCCCTCTGACCATTGACCATGCTTATGTGGCATTAAAATAGCTGAGTTGGCGAGAGAGTGTGACTACACGCATTTAAAGCAAGTGAACATCATATTTTAAACTTTAAATTTTAAATTATTAAAATTATATGATAAAAAAATTAAAAAAGAAAAGAATCCATCTTCTTCCCCACACCACTTTTTCAGCCACCCCTTCCCCATTGCTGCCTAAACCTCTTTTTTTTTCTCCACACCATAGTTATCTTCTTTAGCCCGATCTTGGCATTGGCACTTTGGTGACATCAGGTTTCATGGCGATTATCAGTGGAGGGAGAGAGTCGTGTTGGTTTCATGGCGGTGCTCGGCGATTCGCAATGGTGTGAGAGAGAGAGGCGACTCTCTGGTCCCTTTTTCGCTAAAATGAGAGCGATGTTGGTCCTTTTTTCCGCCAGAATGGGAGGCGGCGGCCGGCGAGGTAGTTTGCAGGTACGCCGGAGAGGATGGAGAGGGGAGTTTGAAGGTTCCCATCTTCAATCTTTCACAACAATCGTCTCCTTCTAATCCCTTAAACTTGTCTTTTTCAACCCGTTTCGATAACCCAAGAAAATCTCAGGCTAATTTTGGGTAGATTTTGACGTGTTTCACGGCAAGGTTGGTGTGAAATTGTATTTGTAAGCAATTTGGGGTGTGAAAATAGTAGTCGGCGTTGAATTGCGAAAAGTTTAGCCAGATCTGGTTGTGCGGTGGTCAGATTTGGTTGTTAGGTGGCTTAGGTTGTTGTTACTGCGGTGGTTGGAGGAGGAAAGAAAAAATGTGATGGTGTGCGGCGGAGATGAAGATGGGTGAGGGAGAAAGTATATGTGATTTCGCTGGCAAAAATGGCGACGCCGCCGGCGATGGCTTTCTTTTGGTGGTGAAATAGTGAAAGTTGGGAGAATTAGAAATGCCAATAATAAATTA